AAAAAAAAAAAAAAAGGCCCTGTCACAAGGCGGATACAGAATGTCACTGGAGGAAAAACTGAAAACAACCTTAATGCTTAACCATATGGGCCAGCTTAGGCCTGTGGCTCTCTTAGAGTTGTCTATAGTGCCCTGGGAGACTCCACCCTTTCAGGGAGCCCATGAGCATGAAACTATTTCTAAGCTGGCTCAGTGGCACAGCAGGGAAGCAGAGCTGTATCCATAGAGAAGATCATGGGTTCGGTCCCCTGGTCAACCTATACACACCAGGCGCACGTGAGACCGTGACCCTGGCTGGCTGGGAAGACTGCGGGGGATCAGGGATGATGATTATCTTTCTCTATTTCTCTCTCTCATGAACAAATTAAAAACAAAAATGATTTTGGGGACAGCAGGTGGCATGGTGATTAAGGCACTGAACTCCCACATGGCCAACCACAGTTCCAGTCCCAGCTCTGGTGGCCTCTCCCCTTCTCTCACGTGCTCTCTCCCTGTCTCTTTGGTCAAATTAAAAAATAAAAAATAATAACAAATAAAATTAAACAACTGTAAAAAAAAAAAGAATTTCATTATAGTGGGAAGATTTTGCCTTTTTCACTGTGTTGAAATATTCACAAACATGGGATGAGCTGGTGGCGTGGTGGTTAAGGCGCTGGACACTCCCACATGGCTGACCACGGTTCAAGTCCTGGACCTGGTGGCTTGCTTTCTCACTTTCCTCTCTCTCTCTCTGGTCAAATTAAAATGAATAAATAAATATTAAAAAAAATAAATAAAGAAATATTCACAAACAGTACAAAATTTAATATTGGATAAAACTGCTGGTGCTGGGCTAGCAGGTGTGTGGTGGTTAAGGTGTTGGATCCCACATGCCTGACTCCACAGTTCAAGTCCTGGACCTGGCAGCCTGAAAGAAACACTGGGCACGTGGGCACGTGTGCCCAAAATCCCAAGAGGAGAATAGACTGTGGTGTGGCCATCCCCCTGGAGGGTGATTTCTCACTTTTCTCCCTTTCCCTCTCTCTGTCTCTCTAGCTCTCTCCAGCCAGCGCTTGTGCCCTGTGGCAAAAATCTAAAAAACAAAAACAAAAATACCCTGCTGATGCCTTAGCAGAAATCAAGCCAGTGACACGCGATGGTACTAAGAGTCGTTGTATTCTCCACAGCCATGCGGTCTCGGGGGGAGCTGGGGAGGACAGACGGACAAACAAACAAAACCAGGGAAAGTGAAACTCAGGAAGGTTCTTGAGGAAGCAGGAAGAGTCCCTCATTTTATTAACTCCCCGCCCTCGAACACACAGCTCTCTTATTTGCCAGGGAGGCCGTGCACGCGAGTGCTTCCGCGGCACGCCCCAGAGGGACAGCGGTCTCGAACAGCATGTGGGCAGCGGGCTTCTGGGCTAAATGAGCCACTTTTCGTGGAACGCTATTTTCACTTGAAAGAACAACTGTCAGACAAAACTATAGTCATTCAAACTTGGATATTTGGCAGGCACTTGCTCAAAAATGAACAAAGTGAGTCTGTCACTTCACGAACACCAACCGACGAGACTTGCTGCCAAGGATGAGGCCCAAGCTTTGCGCTGGAGCTAGAATGTGAATTCTGGAAAACCTGTATCTGCCCGTGTCTGATGGCTTCTCAATATTCAAAGACCTCCCTGGTCGGAGCAGTGAGGATATTATCAAAGTCACTTCCTGATACTATTGGTCTGTCAGAAAAGTCATGACACATTTTTGCACAGAAAAAAAGTCATGACTTTTCCGACAACCCAATATATGAGGGACTCTGTCTCTAATTGGAAGATACACACAACTCATAGAACCAATATTTCCCAAATGGCCAATGCACGTTACAAAATCGTGCCCAAGTGGGGCTAGCAGGTAGCGCAGTGGTTAAGGTGCTAGACTCCCATGTGGTGGACCGTGGTTCGAATCCTGGACCTGGCAGCTTGAAACTCACACTGGGTGTGTGTGTGTGTATGTGTGTGTGTGGTGTGCCCAAGATCCTGGAAAGAGCATGGAGAAGGAACTGCAGCGTGGCCAACTCCCAAGGGTGGGGGGTGATTTCTCACTTTTTCTGTCTCTCCAGCGAGCACATGTACCCTATAGAAAAAATCAATCTTAAAAAAAAAAAGCACTGGGGGCCGGCAAGTAGCGTGGTGGTTAAGGGCACTGGACTCCCACATGGCTGACCATGGTTCAAGTCCTAGACCTGGTAGCTTGCATTCCCACTTTCTCTCTCTCTTTCTCTCCACTCTAGCCCTCTCTGGTTAGATTAAAACAAATAAATAAATAAAGTTAAATAAAATCATTCTTAAAGAAAAGCACTGTGCAAAGCAAGATAGACAATGGATTTCAATGTAACTACATGAACATTTTGTTGATAAGGTTTAAGAGTCTACATTGCCACTCATCTTTATGAAACCTACCACTCATCCGCCAACTGGAGTG